TATATATGGAAATGATTTCGTAAAACTTGTCTCATCTTAATTTGATTTGGTTTTATTAGTGATCGTCTTGGTGATAGTCCTAACCAGAAAGTTATTCATGGAGTTATTGATTCATTTGTTTTGGTTGAAGAATACAAAAAGAAAGGATCATTGCAGGTAAGCTGAACAAATTTGGAAGCAACTATAAACCGCTTTTGAAAACTTTTCTGTAGTTCATAAGTCATCATTTGGAGAAATGGTTGTATAAGGGCCTTAAAATAATTCCCTAAGCTGTTCAATTTGAGCTTGGCTATAGCAACTTTGAATCTGTTGATGAAATAACTAAAAATCTCTACTGAGAAGGAAATGTTATTATTCTTCATTTGGTAAATAAAAACTTTGTATTCCTATTGTTTGTAAATGTCAGTAATAGCAAACATCAGAGAGAATTACTGGCAATTTGTGAAAGAGAGGACATGAAAGGAGAGCATAGCAAGTGGGTTTGACTTTCTGGTTTATATCTCCATAAACAAAGAGGGTTGAAGGCTATAAGTGTACAATATGCCTTATTAGTATATTTATACTATAATGAGTAACTTATATTAAACTCTGGACATCATAAATGAGTGATAAAAAAAATTCAGAAAATTGGCAAGTCGAAGCAAACCAATATCACATTACACAGACAAGTGGAGATTGAGAAGGTATTTAAATATTTCCTTTTGAAATTAAGAAATCAAAAGCTATATAATATTAAAATTTGACTTATTAATGTTTTGACCCCAAGTTTATTCATATGCATTAATAATAAAGTAGGTTATTTAAATTTTGAATGTAACTTGAAAAGTCATGACATGCACTTTTACCCACCCATATCGAGAGGGTTAGTGTTTGGCTTGTATCCAGCATTTTTCTTCTTTTTTTTTAAAAATGTTTGACTAGATTTGTTTTATTTATGTGTATGGTGTGTCCAATTCTAAATTGGTTGGCCAAACAATGTATGAGACATTACTCATATCGGTTGTCCAAACAATGGATGAGATATTGCTCAAATCGTTTGGCCAAACAATGGATATTATTCATCTTGTATCATCATCTCATTTATAGTTTGTTGTCAAGTTGTCCTCATATGGAAATGTTAGTCATGCACATAGTTCTGATTTGATTCTCAAATACGAGCATGTTTTTAAAATCCATTTATGAACTTATAATGTGGATACAATTGTCAGAAACACAATATTTTTCTTCATTTGTTAAAAATTATATTGGTTATTTTTCAGCTCTATCAGGAAATGTTTGAAATTCCATTTCTTCAAGCTACTGGTGAATACTACAGAAAAGAAGCCAGCAAGCTGTTGTATGAGTCAGATTGTTCTATGTATATGGTCAAGGTAAAATAAATGTTTGTTGTTTTCCAGTTAGAAATTTATGTATATCATTGTAAAAAAAGTCCCCTGATGGCTCAGCAATAAGTTGGTGGGCTAAAAGTCAGGTTTCAGAACCAATAGTGGGCAGAGCAAAGATATCCCATCATGTAGCCTTTTATTTTATAACAGACAAGCAAACAAAATCATGTGAAAAGTGTTAATGAATATCCAGCAAGATTTTTTTCTTTCTTTGAATTTTACTCAAAACTAAAAATTAAAAAAATTATATGCATCTCAGTAATTATCAAAATAAGAATACGATAAAGATAGAAAATAAGCAAAAAGATTATACACGTTTTTACAAACAATGTGCATTTTAGTGAAAATAATGAAAGCTTTACATTGATTCAACTTGCTCTGTTGTAAGTACTGGAAAAATGTGTGGCATTTTTTTCTTTATTAAACGAAGGAGGTATGTGATGTATTTTTATGTGTAGACATTCACATATAGTATTTGTTTATTGGAATAGTTATTCATTGATATGACAACTGATAGTAATGATGGTTATGAACGAATATTTGTGAAACTAAAATTCCATGTAATAGTTTAGTGGGGTGCTGTTTATTAACTCTGATGTATCTTGTATGAAATAAAATAGGTTTGTTGACTTTTGTTTTTGAAAAAATCAAGATGAAAACTGTTAGCCCAGAGAGATTCTGTCCACTCTTCTTCAGTTATTTCTACATTTAGTTGAATGATATTCAGGCCTGAAGTTTACATTTTTACCCGTATTGTCTAGATTAAGTTGAAGAAAGCTTAAAATTATGTTATTCTAGACGTGAATGATAAGAATGTTTTAGACAAATAAAAGAGTAAATGGTTGGAAGAATTTTAGTGATAAAAGCTGTCTGAAGATAATGATGCTACTGGAACAAGGTTACACTGCATTATTAGTAAGAAATTTCCTTCAGTTGCAGAGAAAACATATTTTATAATATTTGGGACAGATCTTGCATTAACATTCATTGTTTTGTAAAAATTACATGCAATTCTCTTTTATGAAAATCATCGTTGCACATAAAACCAAGTAACATACACTTTGTTTCTTTACATACCCCACAGTACACTATCTTAGTGGTAACAAACAGTGCGATTGATGACAATTACTTAATACATTGAGAATTGGCCCATCATGGCCAGGTGGTTAAGGCGCTTGACTTGCAATCTGAAGGTCGCTGGTTCGAATCCCTGTCACACCAAACATGTTTGCCCTTTCAGCCATGGGGGCGTTATACTCTGACGGTCAATCCTACTATTTGTTAGTAAAAGAGTAGCCCAAGAGTTGGCGGTGGGTGGTGATGACTAGCTGCCTTCCCGCTAGTCTTACACTGCTAAATTAGGGATGGTTAGGGCAGATAGCCCTCATGTAGCTTTGCGCGAAATTCAAAACAAACATCGAGAATCAGTTGAATTTTTCCTAAACTTTGCTTTAAAGCTGAAAAATTGAATTAACAAGTATTCAAGCTATTTTTATAAATCTCCCAACATCTTAAGTTTTGTTCACTTACTATTAGTCAGTATTTCATTATTATTATCACAGAATATATTGTATAATTGTTATTGTTTTTTTCAACAAATGACATTTGAATGTGACATCAAATAGGTTTTATTAATTCAATTTTGATCCACCATACCTTGGGTTAAATTCATTACCCTATTGCATACCAGTATTTGCAATTCTGTATCGTTTATGCAAAGTTCTTAATCTTGATTCTTTGTTTACATATTTTCACTTCATTCTTGACCAGGTTATAGTGTAATACATGAAAGCTCAACCCATTTTTTTGAAGTGTATATAGATATTTTTTTTGAAATTCCATTGCTGGTTATAACTTTGAGGTTTGTTTTAAGCTTGTACTTTATTTGTTCATATTCTTATTTTAATTCGTTTTCAACATGTATTTATTTAAAATTTAAATAGCCATATTATATATTTAGCACATAACCTAAAGAAAAACAAGGAAAACTATGAACGATAAATTTGGTCCTAATAATTTGCAAAAAAATAATATACAGTAAGTAAATGATAAGTGAAATGAATTGACTGCATTATGTAGTTCTTTAATATCTTCTGTAATAAAAAAATTTTTAATTGGTAGTTCTATGTGAAAATGGTCACTTGTTGTAAGGATTTGTAAGTTGTTACTTGGGAAGAGGTGGTTTGTGTTTTTTCAGTACAAATCAATTATAGAATTATCATGGTTTGATAGTTTTTTGTTTCCAGTTCTGAAGGAAATTCCTTATGTTCAATTGGTGTGCTGTTTTGCCAGCATAGGTAGCTCTGAAGCTATCATGCATGTAAGCTTAGTTAAATAATGATCCATGAATAAAATGGGATCAGTATGAGGTCCTTAAATACAAAAATGTTTTAGTCAAAAGGATGGTTTAAGATTAACTTGGGAGTGATATCATTTAACTTTTGACTTTTTAAGATTAAAAAGTTTACCAAGGAAAGGAAGAAATAGAATATTAAGGAAGCCTGGATCAGTGAGGGTTTTTGTGCATTTATCATATTTCCTGTTGAGAAAGTTATGAGCTATTTTGTGTAATAGTTAGTGAGAAGCTTTTTTTTTATCACATCTTGTAATTTGATTTTATAGTGCAAAGACTAGTAATTTGAACAGATTTTATAAGCTCAGTCTAATGTACAAATGATAAGATTACACTTGCAACGTAGGGGTGTGAAGCTGTAAAATGGGTTGAAGAAACCAGAGAATGTATTATTACAGTAAACAAAAGCTGAGAAACAACTAAGGTCACGTATGATTAGAAAATATATCTAGAAAAAGCAAAAAAAGTTATTTTGTTTGAGTGCACAGGTGAAATTAATATTGATGATGGCAGGAACTTAAGTCATCAAGAAAGTGAAAAATCTGGTCTTTAAAGTGGAATAAAACAAAATAATGACTGACAGAGTGTTTATAGAAGATGGGTTTGAAATTCATGGAGCAGCTATACACTCACATTTATTCATAGTGGCACAAAAATGGGAGTTAGCATAAGTTGGGTTGACTATTTACTCTACCAATACCACCTATCTTGCCAAACTGGTCCCTGTGGAAGAGAAAGTGTGTGTGTGTGTGCTTTGTAGCAGTGAGTTTGAATAGATATTTAAAATCATGGCAGTTTAAAGTCATAAGCTAGTAAGAAATTATTATTAAAAATATTGGAAAACCAAATCTTGGTAGTTTTATGAACAGGAATATTAGTGAAAATTGAAGTAATGCTGAAAAATTAAAGCGGAGATAAAGAATTACTTTCTTGAGCAAGGTTAAAAGAATTATTAGCAGTAAATGTAAGAGGTTTAAAGTTGTGAAGCAAGAAATTTAGGGAGGCTATAGATATCTCTTTTTATAGTATGGTTTAAGGTCTTTTGGCCATCTTAGGATTCTTCTATAGATGAGAAAATACTTGATGTATTTTCTTTTATTTTGGTGTCATTTTAGTCTCTACACTGAGGCCTTCTTCTTCAAATAATGAAAAAAACATAGTGTTTGTTACAAAGTTCATAATGTCTTTGAAAGTAATATTGTAGATAACTAAGAAAACATATCTTTTGCAATATTTGATGCTGTTTCAAAATACACATTGGATTCATGACATTACATTTAAGAAAAATAGTAACACAGATTGACATCAAAGCAATTTGTATAAATAGTTATAAACTAAAGGTATGTAAATACATCGCTGAAAAAATGCAGTATAATGTATTAAAGTTTGCTAACTTATTGGTGGTCTAATTGAATCTAACTTCACTCCAATGCTTGAATTTTGGATATCTGGTTTTCTTAAAAGAACAAAGCTACAAAGTTCATCGAACTGTAAGGGAATTTACAAGCTACTCTTGAATTCATAAATATTACTTGATTATCTCTTCACTGATAAATGTTGGTTTCTACTAATTCATTTCTTTTTTACAAACTAAGTTATAGTTATTTTAGCATGTGAAATGTTTAACTTGTTTCTCCAGATAAAGATACGTGGTAGTTGGTCAAGAAGAGGAATTATATTATATTTAGCAATAGACTGATTGTCAGCCTAGTATCAGCAGTATTTTAGAGGATATTATTGTAAGATTAATACCTAGTTTTCTTTATATCAGTAAAATAATTTTTTTGTGATTTTGATTCTATCATATTTTTAAATGTAACTCTTCATACTATTTTTATTTGTTTAATTTGAATATCATTTTGCAACTTAGTTTGTAGTTTTTGTACGTGTTCAAGTCTAACAATAGATATATATATATATATATATATTTACTTTTGCACCAAATGAAGATAGTTTTGAACTTCACTGTTGTATAGGTATTGCATCTACAGTTATTTAGGTTCATTTCTAGGATCAACGTGTTTTTTTGCACATGGTCAGTGAAACAAGGAAAAATCAGTTATTCAGTAATGGTTCTAGGACACAGATGGTGGAAAAAAATTGTCAAAAAATCACATACAACTTAATTCTGGTGCATTTTTTTTTTGCACAAAGGTTCTTTTGTCTACATCAATCTTTGTGTTTCTGTTAATTGTCATGGAGTATGAAGACAGTCAAAGAAGATTATGTAAACAGTCTCTAGGTTCCCACTTAATTGGAGGGTAAGAATTCTGGACAAGGCTTTATCTCATCTTCCTAAACAGCCTAAAAGCTCTTAACAGATTATTATTACAAGTTCTTAGTGTTTTGAAAGTACGGGCTTACAGACCACAATATGCTCATGAAATGTAAATGTTAATTATTATGTAGACTGTGTAGTGCCAGTGTGATTGACTATGGATGATATGTTAGTGTTTGTCATTGTGTCTAACTCTAAGGACTATGGCCCGGCATGGCCAGTTGGTTAGGACGCTTCTCTCGCAATCTGAGGGTTGCGGGTTCGAATCCTCGTCACACCAAACATGCTTGCCCTTTCAGCCATTGGGGCATTATAATGTGATGGTCAATCCCACTATTCGT